AGCAGTGTGAAGAGAGGAAGAGATGATAAATAATAACACGAACGTCAAGTGATTGCTCGTGCCTCGTGGGCCTCGTGCTAGAGGACCGGGACGGTAAAAACGGTGGCGTTTTGGTTAGTTTCAGACAAATAAGATTTCTGTTTGACCGAGAGATATAGACAGAGAGAAGTGTCGTCATTTCATTTTGCACTGTAATTGGTATTTGTACCAACCGGGTGACGGTGGAGTTTCTTTTGGTTAAAGGGATTAATGAATTCATATTAACAAAGAAAAAAGGTTATGAAATATTTTAATTCTTAAATGATCCGGCAAAAAACTTTTCGGTCAACACAATAAAAACAAATATCGATAATTTTATGATCGATTTTAAACGAAAGTTTGATTTCTACCTTCATTCACATCAAGTTTTAACGCTACTAGACCAATACATGTGCATCCGCGCGGATTTTCTTTTTCATATATGCATATATGCTGCTTTTCTTTCTTATAAATACTTCTTTCTAATTTTTCATATATATAAACATTCTGTTGAGAAGAAAGTTTGTTATTGTACACCTAAATTTAAAAAATGCATGAAAATAATCCCTGATAAATCTTAGTAACTTGACATATAATAACGAATAATTATTTTTGCAGATAAATGTTGCAGCAAAAAAAAACAAATCTGAACATGATCTAAACTTTTGCGGAGTTTGAGTGTTGACTTTCCAAGTCTTAAAGAACTAATTAAAACCAAGTCTTAAAGAATTAATTAAGACTTTCCAAGTCTTAAAAGAACAAATTAAAACCAGAGAAATAACTTAAGGGAACTTGCTGATGGTACTTGGAAGTAACACTTATACAATGAAGATCAAGTAACACTTACTCTCCTCCTTTGCCGATCCAATCCATTTTCTTTTTCTTAACAGTTAAATATTTTTTTCAAAGACAATAAAAAAGGTGAGAGACAATAATTTCTTGACGACAATGTTATTCAAGTTCCTCTACACTTGCATCTTTTTGGCTTCTCCTCTGACATGATGGTTCTTCCATTGAAGTTGTCCACTGCATACATGTAAAACCCTCCAGATTTTATAATAATCAAAACCTATGTTTTTAAGACTGGGAAAACCATGTCTTCTATAAGTGTTTAGATCATTGAGATCCTAATCGAAAATGACGATGTATAAGGTTATCACAACAAAATTTCACTTTCGTCGAGTCTTCTTTAATGTATACTTGATCAAATATCATCTTCCATCGTTGGATAGATCTCCACTTGCTCACGGTGAGGATTGCATGAACAAGTTTATCAGAAAAGAACCAAATTGTTAGCTACAAAACATCAAAAGCTTGTATTCCAACTATTATTTAGTGATCTAGCTTGTCATCAATCTTGGACATAAAAAAACCAAAGAAATTCAACGCACCAAACATAGAAAAGGAGATGAAGCATTCTAGTAGAGAAGATGAATAGACGAATGTTTTATTTTGATAATTTAATTCGAGTTTTGATATTCAAAGAGAAAAACTTAAAAAGGGACATGTGTCAAGCTGCCGGAGAGGGATGATTGTCCTTTCATATATATGATTTTTAAACTACACAAAACAAAACTTGATTATCTATAACTATATGAATTTTGAAAAATTATGTCTAAAACTTTACAGCGTCTAAAATTGGCGTCCTTAATTAAACTTAAATCCATGATTTAAAATTAATAATTGAACTAAACCAATATACACCTAAAACGAGTAGCGTTTATCTCTTTCATTTTCCAACATCTTAAGTACACTCTCTCTAGGCACGAGGCCGCCGTTGGAGCTCAGCCTCTTGATCTCCGTCGTCAACAATGAAGCTCTCTGCCTCTCGATCTCCATCGATGGTGCCTCTCGCCTCAGCAGATCATTCTCTGCCGCAGAAGCCATCGCCTCACCGTCTCTCTGCCACCTCGGTTTCTCTGGTTCAACGATGTCGTCCTCTCCATGGCCAAATTCGTTGTCCATGACGAAGCTGCTGCAGTTTCTCCTCGAGCTGCCAGATCTGAAGCTAGCCGCCGTAATAACTCAACCCTCAAAGCCACCGGATCCTCCGCGGTTGCTAGTCTCCGGCGATATCATCTTATCTCGCATCTTGCCACTGTCCTCTTACATGGAGAGACTGCATCTCACATCTTACTCTTTTATGGAGGTATCGTTACAACAAGTTTATCTTAGTGTTGATCTTTGTTGTCCCTATTCTTTACTCATGATGACTAGCTCCAACAATGGTCTCTTTCGAATTGGTGTTATGGGCACGATTCCTCTGTTGGGCAAGCTAGCTTATTGGAATCGTAAGCCATTGTTTCAATTCTCTTTTGTTGACTATCTAAACTCAATCATTGGATTCAATCCTCCTTTCTCTTGGAGTGTTGTGGGAACGATTCAACCTTGTTATTCTATTCGGTGTGTTATGATATTACCTCGTCTTGAGGGCTCTACTAGCATTGTCCTAGTTTCTTGGTTTGAGACATCTTGCATTGTCTTAGCCTCTAGCAGTATGCAGGCTATGTTACTATAAAAATTTTATCACTTTTTGTGGCAGGTTAAAAGAGATGAGATTGTTAATGCCATATTTCTAGTGAATTTGGATTGTTTGGGCACTTATTGCTTTAACTTCTCTGTTATGGAGTATGCTTTTTTTTTTCAGTGTTTCCATTTGTGGTTTCGTTGCAGGCAGGTTTGAGTCGAAGATTGCAAATGCTTCGGCTCTCATCCTCTTCAAAGACTCTGTAAGCCAGTGTACATCTGCGCTTGTAGCCTAAATCATGATTGATTATTCGGTCTTAGTTGCAATTTCAATCTCGGACATTGGATCACTATGTGTGTTCTTTGTTTTCGACATTGTCTCACCTCTTAGCAACATTGTCGTCAATCTCCTTCACGGTTTTAGTTGTTTAAGCGCTTGGACCGCAGCGCTTGGACCGCATCTATCCCTTTACTCGATGCTTTACGTTTTGCATTAGTAGTAGTGTATTTGATTTCCTTGATGACTTTTGCTTCATGCTTTGTAAACAATTCATCTCTTCATGGAGAGTAATTTGAATTATAAAATCATGGTTTGACTTAAAAAAAAAAAGGTACACTCTCTCTTTCAACATCTTCAATTTCATCTATACAAAATAAAAATAAACCAAATTTATGAGACAAACAAATTTCAAACAAAAATCCATCATAACTTGTTCTAATTAAAATATAAGTGGTTCTAAAATTCATGAGGAATAAGATGAGGCACGATTAAGGGTTTTTGTTTTACGAGAAAAACAAAATCGTTTGTCTTTTTTTTTCCCTTCATTCATCAAACGACGTCGTCCAAACTTCTAATCATCACAGTATGCACAATTAACAGAGATTAAACATTTTGGTCAGCAGGTTTAACAGATAAACTAACATCATAACATATTATGTATGTGTACATCTAAATTTATAAGTTTGGGCATGAAAATTTGATTTATTTGGAGTTTGCCGATGTAGATACACTTCTAAAAAATTAGAAAAATATTTCACATGTGCCTAGAGTTGGAATATGAATAACCGAAAGCTTTTGGAATTTGGGGTAAGTGGATGAACTTTTCCAAAAATTGGAAAGATACTTTCACGGGTATCTAAAGTTAGGGTACAAATAAGATTCAAAGAACTCAATTAACATTTGTGAGTTGAAGTTTATTTAGAATTGTTTTGTGTTCAAGTTTTTCTAGAATTGTTCTTTTGGTTTTGTATTGCAACATATCAAGACCAAAATCTCATAAACTGATTGTGGCTGCGAAAATCTATATAACACATTATTAGATTAAAAAAAAAATTTTATAAGAACATTGTAATATCCCTATCCCATGCCCATTAGAAATGGATCAGGCCCGCAAAATGGAGAGCTAGGAAGGAAAAGCCCAGAAAAAGGGAAGCCTAGTAAAGGTAATTTGGACAATTTCCAATTAATGGAGACTAGGGTTTCTTACGACTCTAGTATTTAAGGAGGGAGAAGGGGATTTTCAGAGGAAAAAGAGAGAGATATATATGGCGAAGCCCATGCTCATTCAGAGAGAGCTTCACCGCCGCCACTGCCACCGC